AAAAAAAAAAAAAAAAAAAAAAAAAAAAAGAAATTAAAAAAATAAATAAAAGGAAAATGTTAAAGTTATCCCTTAAGGGTACAACTGTCATGTAAATATAAAATGTTTTAGAAATACTCTTATAATAGATACAATTCTATAGCTATATGGTTTAAACGTTATCGCTTGTTGAAAAATCTTTTCATTTTTCTACTTACTACACCACTTGTGGTCCGGCGGTAGACTCAGTTCATACGGATGTAGCGAACATACGAAAGGACTTGAAATAGATCCACCTTTTATTATACCGATAGATTCAGAATCACTTTTTGAATCGATTTAAGCTTGTCTGTCCGTCTGTCCGTCTATCCGAGTTTTTTTTCTTGTGTTTAACCTATAGGTCGCAATATTTAAAATATTTTGATAAAATTTGTTACACTGAAGTGTTTTAGTTCATGGACGAATGCTATTGAAAATGATTCAGATTGAGTAATTTTTATGCCCATTTCTAATATAACCGTATAAAGCAAAGTGTGGGTAAATTGTTGTAGAGTAGGATGGGACCAATCCCATTCAAATGGGTTTACTTGTTTAACTTTGTTTTTTACCCTACTTAGTTGTTTTTTTTGGCTAAAGGAGGCATCTTTTACGGAATGTATAAGAAAAGTAATGAAACTGAAACTTTCGAATAATAATTGCCTAAAATTCATAGCATTGTCAGTTTGGTTATAACTTAGTTCTTAGTTCTTTCATCTAATAACGAATCATTTAATTTTTGATATATAATGGACTTTAAGCTGTCGCTTCAACAAAAAAAGAACGAATCGATTTGAAGCGAAGAATCGATTAGCTCAAAGTCAAAAATGTTAACAAGCGAACATAAGACAAAGTATCTGTAGAAAGTATAAAGTTTACTGCACTGAGAATCGAATACGTGAACACAATTTTGCGGTCGCGAGTCTTACGCCCTTCGCTATGCATCAGTCTAATTGTACTGATTACAGATATGATATACAAAAAAAAAGTCCACTTGTCTTAGACTTCCAAGTAGTGTGGGCGAAAGTGCAATGGCGAACACAACGGTTTATAGATAAAAAAATACTTTTCGAATGTTGCTCATAAAATCTCATACTTCACATTCATTTAAGATCCTCCTCCCACTTGATGAAAATATTATTTACTTTCTAATCTATTTCTTGTACGAATATATGATTTGCATTTACAATTGATATTTTAAGCAAAATAATAATTAATACAAAATGCATTCAAGATTCAAGATTTTGAAAAAATGGTTGACTTTAGAAATCGATTATCAAAAAATTGTTAAGAACCCTAGCAGATGTTAGCAGAATTAGTTTTCGCTCTGCATCGTTACACTTAACTAGAAAGTTTTATCAATATCAAGATAACGAAAAGTGTAAAATTATTACTATTATGTAGATCCGAATAAGGATATATCTGTTTTACGCAATACCATTTATATGAGACAATAAAGAGACAATAACAACAAAAGAATCAAAAAATCAGAATTATTTCAATCAAATATGATCTACACTGGGCAAAAGCACGAACTCATTGAAAGGTAGCGTAACTTGTGAAGAGTGAAACTTCTACCGTACAAACATCAAGGTGAAAATTATTTGTATCTAAAATTTCGGGAAAAATAAACACGACGAGGCGATTCAATTTCAACACAAAGAACTTATTTGCACACCTATCGTATACAAACAACAAATAGGAAAGATGGTGGCAGGAGGAGGGATGGATACCATACTATTATAGTTATGTTATATATGTACATATGGCAGCTGTTGTTAAGCTCTGAGGCTCATTTCGCTTGAATTTTAAACCTGAATATTTTAATTATTTCTAAAAAAAAAATTCTTTTTTTTTTTTCGTACATTAAAACAACAATTAACACGTTTTACCGCAATGAGCCCCAGAGGCCCGCCAACCAGAAAAGAGCCTTGTATGTAGGACAGCAAGGATTCAATTGACCCAAGCAGTGCATATCATTTTAGACTCATAGCCGCAATAACACGTTCAGTAATTGCTTTACGAAGCATAAACTCAAAGAGTCAAAGTATGTATGTATGTATATGTAATTTACGTTTAAGTGGAAACATTTGAAATTCTCGTGTTGAAAATCGAAAAAGCTATATCGGTCAAAACACACACCTAAAACTGAGAGCATCTTTACGTTCTGGCTTTCTGATCGTTACTTATAAACTAAATAAAGTCACAACTATCTCATGCTAAAGAGAATGAATTTTTCGTTCGAATTTTTATTAGTCTTTATTAGGCTAAGGGCGGTGGATATAAAACATTTTTGTACAGCCGGACGTAGCGGTCTTGCTTGTTTTATTTTTCAATTTTCTTTAATATGTTTTTACATAATTCGGAATCGAAACGTCTGTGTCCTCTGTATATTATTTTATGTTTATATGTGTATGTGGTTTATTTGGATGAACAAATGAGTTTACACTGTGACCAATCTCATCTTTACAATACGGCATTACTTTCCGATTATGAGCCGCATTCCATTTGCTAGAAGCTGCATATATGCCGAACAATCGAGAAAGTTTGCCATAAGCAGAACTTGGGTCAAAAAACAAATTTTTCCTTATCGATTTGAATATATATATATATATATATATATATATTTATGTTTGCTTGTTCGCGTAAATAAATGACATTGAACTGTAAACAAAGACGGTAACAATTTAGTTATTGCCGTAATTCCCTTGACGTGGTGTTATTCATTAAAAAGGTATACGGTCCGATTTGGGGTCCATATCTCTGAGAGCAACTGCAGTCAAGCTTTTTTTATCTAATCGTGATCATTTCGTTGCTGTAAACGGATTTCGTTTATTTTTCACCTAACGCTTCAAATAGTATCCGGTTTTCACATTCACATCTGCTACGAATTGTAAGTCAATTTTTTTTTACTTTTTTTTTTTTTTTTTCTTTACTACACTTTACCCGTGAGAGTATATTAAGTTTGTGCGGATGCAAGTAATAACCAGGAGGGCTCGAGATAGACTTATCTTTTAATATATCAATTGAAGGATGTCTGTCCGTCTATCTATCTTGTTTTCTTTTGTTCGACCTATTGGTCATAATAGTATAGATATTTTGACTAAATGTAGTCTACTGATCAACTTTGGCCAAAGGACGACCACTATTGAGAATGATTCCGATTAAATCACGTCGTGGGCCACTTTCCATGTAATGCCCCGGATTGTCAAGTCATTGGATGACAAGAAATATTCTAATCTAGGTTTTGTATCCCGCATTATTGACTATTTTTTCTTCCTCACCGTTTGTTGTTGTGAAAGCGTTCAATACATTTTTAAATCTGAATTTGTTTTTTCAATCAATTCAGAGGAAATATTGAAAGTTTCCATTTGCTATCCCGTCTATGTAAATGAATGCATGTACAGATAGATAGGTGGGCAAAATTAGCTCTCTTCAAGAAGTTTACTTTCAATTAATGAGACAATTTAAGAAAAAATTAATTGAATAAAAATTACATTTATATTCTACGCTGATTTATAGTCATTTAGTTATAGCTTAAAGTGATAAAGAAATATATTTAAGGCTGTTGGGTGTTTTCTTTCTTCTTCTTCTTTTTTTTTTTTTTTTTTTTTTTAACTCATTTCCATTTAAGCTGTTCGGCTTCAGTGTGCCACTTACGCTTAATGAATCCCACATACATTAAGAGAAATGACATCATTTTAAATGGCGGATATGAATATAGTTTTAAATGTACACACGCGTAAGTTTACAGAAATTAAAAAAAAAAAAATAAATAAAAAAAAAAACACAAATAAATGCAGTTTTCATTAAATTAAATTAAAAATATAATTTTTCGTTTCTTTTGTTTTCTCGGAAAACATTCAACTGATTTTGATTATGAAAACCTATTATTGTGATAAAAAAAAAAAAAAAAGGGAAAGGACATAAAGATAAGATAAATAAATATTGGAAATTGGCATTGATCTAACGTATATTTCAATCAAGTATACGCACGCCTGATAGGCGAT